CTACAACTTCATGCTCAACTCTGAATCCAGAACTAAAATCCCTTCCCACCCAAACCAAATCCCTCCTCCCACCCAACTTAAACCCTCGCCCCCCTCCCCCTCTCTTGCCTCTCCCTCTCCAACTCCCCCACCACCCTCCCCAACTCCCCCCTCACCCTCCCCTCTTCCACCAAACTCCACTCCGTCCTCAAATTCACAACACTAAAGAACCCCTTCTCAATATCGACTTTCCCCACAGCTTTCTCCGCTTTCAACATATGCTTGCGTGCGACTTGGGCCGAAAGGTTTGCCAAACGAGCGGAAGTGAGGATCGAGGTGTGCAGGGTTGTGAGGTCGGGGTCTAGGGTGCCGGAGAGGAGGAGGTGGGAGGGGGAAGTGGTGGAGGATTGAGGGGTAGTGGTAGAGGTAGGAGGGGTGGTGAGCATTTGTTTGAGGGTTAGGAGGGTGGTGCGTTTGCGGGATGGGAGGGGCTTGGGAATGGGAGCCATGTCCATGGTTTTGGAAAGTGGGTTGTGGGTCGACGCCCTTTCCTCCTCGTCGATGGTCTTCAGCGCCGCTCTTCTATTTAGCTTGGTGTTGCGAGGTTTGCGTGACGGGCGTTTGGGAAGCTCAGAAGCATTTGACGTGGTCTCACGAATTGCTGTATCGAGCATGTGATGGAGGTCAAGAATGATTGGAATACTGCCGCTCGAGTTGTTGCTATACGCTGACTCCAAGCTAGATCGTGGATTTGCCCGGCCTTCGAGTGCTTCCAGGGTGGTAAGGTCGTGACTGAGCCGTGCTGGAGTGGTGGACAGTAGCTTCATGTCCTTTTCCGAAAGCGTTGCGATGCCCCACCGGCGAGTGTTGCGCTTTCGTACGGGACAATATCGAGGTCGGCTATGAGTGGTATTCTGGCGGATCGGAATCCTTGACTTCAGAGTCGTGCTGGTGGCAGTCTGCTTCTCGGCTCGTGGCAGCTTTCCCTCGGGCTTGGTGTTGTGATCCATTGTAATGGTCTACCGGGTTCTTGTGTGTCGAAGTAGGTTGATGATGATGTTCAAGTTATATCGAGAGTTCATGGTGATATGAAAAGCAAATACAAGCGCCATGATTGCGTCTGCAGCATGTGACGGCGGTGAAAGTGAGGATATTTTACTGCATGTGCCAAACACTGCTTCGCTGCTTTTCACTTAAAGCGTTTGCAGTCTCGATTCGTTGCGTCAGCAGCATATAACAGCATTGAAAGTGAGGATATATTCCAAGCATGTCTCCGCTACTTCACTTCAAGCGTTTGTAATCTCGATTCGCAAGCGCTTTGAGGTGCATGTGAAGTCTTGATTGTGTCTATACGGCAAGTAGCTGGTTTACGAGCGGCCTAAATATCTCAAGCAAACGGAGTCGGCTCGTGCACAAGCTCATGACTACAGTCTCTCGGCGTCCAGATTGCCCGGCGGCTTCTCGTGCATTGGACAGTGAAGCCGCGCACTCGTTCTTGAGATCTTGGAGATGTATCAAAGCTTCCATTGTTGGTCAACGTGCGGAAGAAGCTTGTGACGTGCGTATGTTTTCGGCCATCACCTCATAAAATATCGCTTCTTCCCCAGCCTTGCAGCAGTGCACACTCTTGACAACGCTGGACAGAGAGTTGACTCGATCACACCACAATACGGCAGTGTAGAGCGATGCAAATTGCCGTATCTGTGCTTGTGTGGTGGTCAGTATTCGTGATGTCCGAAGCCTCGGTGCAGTCCCAAATCCGGCGATACGATTGGTCGAGACGTGCATGACGCTAACAAATGTCACGATCTCTCGGCAAGATCTGTCGACTTCTGGCTTGTTCTTCGGCATATTAAGGTTCCAAAATGCAATGTGAGTGAGGGAAATGCTGGGTCTAATGTTGATGAGAGGGAAATGCTTGTGATTGATCACTCCCGTCTCCAATTCTCTTCGGTTGTTAGCAGCATATCTGATAATTGATGGACATGAACTGATCTAAGCTCATCACTGCATGGCTTTCTTTCCTTCTTGCACCATGCCTTCCAGGTCATACTCGTAGATGAAAGCGTTCCAATTCTCGAACTTCTTCTTCAGTTTCTCCTTGTCGACTGCTGCGTCGGACCTGCCGCACAGAAGAAGGCCGGCTTCGTTGCTCTGGCGCGCAACTTCCGACCTTCTAGGCCGCCGGATTCTGTCGTAAACCGCCAAGGCTTTCGAGATGTCTGCTTTGCTCTCGACTTGATTTAGGACTGTTTGCAGGAGGAGGGCATCCTCGATGGCTTGGCCAGCGCCAGCTCCTCTTGCGGGCGCAAAGGACTCTGCAGCATCGCCGATCGTGCAAGTATTACCATTGCTGTATTTCGTAGTGCCAATGTGAGATCTGGCAGCTGCAGCGAAAAGCTTTTCCTGTTCGGCGAACAATTTCGCCATACCCTTGCCAATATTTCCCCAGCCGCGAAGATCCTCGGCTACTTCGTCTTTCGACCACTCGTGGAAGGGTTCTTGGTATGGCCAGCCAGTACCAGTAGATGGGCGCTCCTTCCAGCCTGCGATGACTTGCATGCTCTGGCCGTTGTCAAGCTTGTCGGTTAGCAGAAAGCCGCCGTCGCCGACCCATCCAGTTTGGATGTCTTCCTCGCAATGCTCCTTGCCAAACGCTTCGATGCCCTTCTCGAGTGGAACCACAATACGCATGTTGAAGCCACCCATGCCTCTCGGTTTCGTGGCCGGATTGTCAGCACCCAGAACAGCCGCTCGAACCACGGAGTTGAGGCCGTCACCGCCAATGACTGCGTCAAACTCTAATGACTTGCCGTCCTCGAAGTGCACCGTGGCCGGACTTCCTATATCTATACCAGGCTCGACTCTCGTGACCTTCGCGTTTGTATTTATCGGTATGCCCGGAATGGTCTTGTTGATTTCTCTCTGAAAGACGCCACGCCCGACCACGATCTGCGGAGAAGTGTTGTCGAGGTACGCAATGAACTCGCCAGCATCTGGACCGGTGCCCTAGGATTAGTCAGTATCTGCTTAAAGATATGCTCGATGCTGCGAGGCTCGCCAGTACTATCTTCGCGCTTCTCGGCAATGGCGTTCCGCCTGCGTCATCAAGAGCTTTTCTCAACTCCGGATTCAGCAACTCCAGAGCTCGCTGTGCATTTGAGCCGAGACCAAAGGCTTGACCCTGCACCCAAGAGCCATCGCTGCCTTCGAAGATGGCAACTTGGAAGCGAGGGTTGTCTTTCAGGCCTTTGGCAACGCAGACTGATGCAAGGCCGTTGCCAATGATGGCTACTCTTATTGGTGTGTCTGCCATGATGTGTGCTATTGTAATGACTGTGAACTTGAGAGGATTGTGCTCAGCAGTTGAGGCGTCGGAAGGAAACGAAAGAAATGTCCCGAATCTGTGGCACAGAGCTGAGGTGCGATCAGAGTTGTGCTCTACTCCTCATTAGGGATTGGTTGGACAGCTCTGGTGGATCTGGACCGAATGTCTCCGTGTGCATAAAGTGGTTGACATGTGAAGACTGGTCGATGAAGTGCTCTGCATTCTGAAGTGTAGCATCAAGGACGCGGAAGGAAGCGTGCACTGTACAGTAAGCATATATGTGCCACGAGGTGTTGGAGACGTCTCCGCAGCGTCGACTCTCCATCTCTTCATCTCTTCACCAAGGTCCAATCTACTTCAGGTAGCGCATATTATCTGACCCTGATAACTTCTTCCATCACCATCTTGCCGGCTGTGATCTATCGATGTCCTCCGGTAGAGAATGCACGCGTTCGTGCTCTTTGACCGCGTCCCAGAATATTCGCCGACTCGTCACCGCAAAGCATGCATCGACATCCGACAACGTAAGACTACCAGTACGGTAACAACGATCTTCCGATTGCCGCCGCGTTCATACTACTATGAATTGTCGAAGGAAGATGAGGGAGAGAAAAAACCTCCATACCAAGATCACAATAACGCGTGTTGCAATATCCATTTCGGGACAGTCTGAGAACTACGCAGCAGGACGAACTCAACCCACGCCCCTCTCAACAGGATTCAATGATGACGTTCATCTCGTACAGCTCGTATCGATACGTATTTATGTAAGCGTACAATCGTCCCATTCCAAGAGCTCCAACGGCACCTCTTGATGAAATGAAACTGGAATGAGCAGTATTATGTCTCACCAACTCATCTCCTCGACTGATCTGATCTGATGAACCCACCCAACACCAATGGAAATCTCAACCTTCCTCGTCCCTACCCTGCTCGCTCTCTCCCTCTACCGCTTCTTCACAGTCGGCCGCTTTGAAGCCCCAGCCCTCCTCACCACATACATCTTCCTCAGCTCCATCCTCCCCTTCGCCAAAAATGCATACACAGCTTCACGCACCGGCATGCCACGCATCCACGTCTTCTGGCACCCGCATTCATTCATCTGGATGGTAGCCGGCGTCCCCTTACGACCCTACCTAAAACATTACCTCCCAAACTGGATCTGGGATCGTCTCGCCCCCACAATCTACGGCTGGGAATTCCAAGAAGGAATGCGACCCTTTGAAAACTTTGCCGCGCCGCAAGGTGACAGGAAGACGTTCTGGTTGGTGAGTTGTGGTGCGGAGCTGGAACTTTATACTTGGGATCGAGATATTGTAAAGCAGGTCTTGATGAGACATCAATACTTTCATCAGTTGAAGTTGACGGCGTTTTTTCTGGAGAAGTTTGGGAAGTCGTTGTTTACGAGTAATGGGGAGTCGTGGGCACGGCAGAGGAAGGTTCTGGCTGCGGTTGTTAATGAGAAGATCAGTAAGACGGTGTTTGGGGAGACGGTTAGGCAGGCTGAGGGGTTGGTTGAGGAGGTGATCAGGAAGGATGCGATGAGTGGTGGGAAAGGCGTTGCGGAGACGAATCGGATTTTTGATATGCTGAAGAAAGTGACAATCCACGTTCTGAGTGGAGCTGGGATGGGAACAACTGTGTCTTGGTCTAATGATGGTGGGGAGAAGAAATTAAAACCAGGGATGAAGATGGACTATATGGACGCCTGCAAAATTGTCACTGGAGCTACTATGGGCCCGATCATTCTGCCGCAATGGTTCACCTCTAACTATCCCTCCTTCCTACCTGGACACGACTTTATGCGAAACCTCAGCATTGCTATGCGCGAGTTCCCAGTACATACCGGTGACCTTCTCAATTTAGAGCGAGAACGTCAAAGAAATACTTCCGCAGCTGCAAGTACCACTGGCAACGCAATGTCCGCCCTCCTCCAACACGCCAAAACCGAAGAGAACCCCAACGGCCTAACGGAAGACGAAATCCGAGGCAACCTCTTCATCTTCACCGTCGCAGGCTTCGAAACCACAGCAAACACCCTCAGCTACACCATAATGCTCTTGATCCTCCATCCCTCATGGCAAAAATGGCTCTTCGAAGAAATCGACTCGATCATACCCGCTTCAGGACCTACAGATGAGGAACTCGACTACCAAACTCTATTTCCCAAATGTCAGCGCATCCTAGCCTTCATGTTCGAAACCCTCCGCTTCCATCCACCGCTAGTCCACATCGTCAAGGAAACGCAAGGCGAACAGATCCTCGTCACGGAGAAAGGGAAAGAACTCCGTGTCCCGGATGGCACGTTAGTGTACCTCGATGCCGTCGCGCTCCATCTGGATCCCGAAGTTTACCGGAACACCAATCTTGACAGCGCTCGCTACGAGAAAGAATCTGACGATGATGAGCTCAAGTTCCGGCCGACGAGGTGGTTGCATCAAAGCTCGGATTCGAAGATTACGATGTTCGCGCCTCCGAAAGGTTCGTTTTTATCTTGGTCCATGGGGCCTAGGGGTTGTCCTGGGCAGAAGATGAGTCAGGTGGAGTTTGTAGCTGTGATTTTGACGTTGCTGAGGAGGCATTCGATTGAGGTGGTGAAGTTTGATGGGGAGAGTGATGAGGAGGCGACTGCGAGAATTGAGAGGTGGGTTGCGAATAGTTTTAGTAAAGCTACGTTGGAGATGAGTGGGGTGTATGATATTTCTGGGGAAGAAGTAGGTTTTAGAGTGGGATTGAGGAGGAGGAGATGAGCATTTCCGAAGCGTTTGTGGTAGGATGTGCCTTCTCCATCTGTGTGAAGGAGCCGAAGCGTCTTCATAAGCGCACCCCATCGCTCGGTCTGCGCTCCCGCTGCTCTGCTCCTTAAAGAGCGGTACCATCACAACCTGCCACCTCCCATCCCCTCCGCTCCCCCTCAAATTTATAATTCCACACCATCCCATCCTCCCTCTTCCGAATCCACGTCACCTCAATCCCCACATCGATTTTCTTCCTCAACACCTCCGCCTCCTTACAAAGAAACGCAGACAACATCCCAGCCAGCTGCCGAATCCTCCACGCATGCGACAAATACTTGTCCTGCACATGCATCTCAACCACAACCCTCCTCAACCTCCCCAGCCTCACAAGCCCTTTGAAAGATTCACAATCAAACTCCGCCGCTTCCTGCAAATACATTGCGTTGTCGAAGTGGAGGCGCACAGTTTCGAGACGGGTGAATTGCGTCCAGATTGCGGGCCAGAACTTGGCGAGCTCGTCATGAGGTTTGGAGGAGGACGAGGATTTGGTGATGTCGACGACTCCGTGACGGGCGGTGATGAACACCAGGTTCTTGATGTATTCTTATGCGGATTCGGGCACGATGGGGATGAGGTTTCCCGGGAGCACGGTTGGGAGGAAAATCAGAGTGCCGGGAGGAGGGAGGGTTGCGCGGAGTTCGAGGTTGTCGTACAAGATCGGCATGGCTTCGTGGAAGATTTTCTTGCTGACTCCTGGAGTTTTGAAGTTAGCAATGATGTATTTGGAAGGCGGGTTGGAGATTCGAGATTTACGGAGGATTTCCGGGTGGTGTGGCCCGGAGCTGCAGGTGCATTTTATCGGGAGCTGCTTCCCAATTTCGCTACTCACGAGCTGAGCGTTCGAACAGCAGTGGCTCTCGGACGGGATGTGTTGGCTGGCAAAGACGTATTCGTAGATGCGCAATCGGAGCTCTGGGGGGAGATTCATGAGTGACTTCGGCTCGTGCGTCTCAACAGCGGGTGATTTTGATGCCGGGACTTTGCACAGTTGTTTGGCGCTGGCCATGGTGGGTGTACTGGAGCAGAAGACATCGTCTTGGTCAACTGCCAAGGGCGAGGTACGACCAGGCGGGAGTTTTCTAGGTAGTTTTGGTCTGATGCGACGTCTTGATACTGGCTTCGGTGCTCCTGGTGTCTTCGACGTCTCTGTCCCGCGTCCCTTTTGCAGACTTGGTGTGCTGTCATTCGAGGCGGCGTTGATGTTGTTGCTACTCGGCGGGATCTCGCGCCCCTAGGCGAGTTTCGCCCGTTTTCTCAGGTGCTTGAAGACCATGCTCAAAGATGCATGTTCATGCCCAGGTTCTTAGGAGGTGAAGAAGGATATTTGATAATGGGACAAGGTGAAGTCTCGGCAGAAGCAGGCGAGGTGAGGTTTGTCGCGCGTTGTCGCCTACCTGTAGTGCCTTCTTCTTCTTCAGCAGCTCCTCCTCAAGCCTATACTGACATCTCTGCCTTCGCTCACCACAACACTGGCCTGTTGAGCCAACGCACCGTCCACCGGCGAGCATGGAACTAACCCACTTGACGGAGCGAAGAGGCCACACCTTTCTCGCATGGCATTCTATCACCACTTCATATCCGACATTAACCTCTGCAGCCTCGGGAAATTGAAATGGAATACGTGATAAACGACTTCACTAAACCCCATCCATCAAACTCGCAACGCCTTTCGTGAACCCGACTAGAGCAAAAGTTCACATAGCCCACCATGCCATGAACTCTGCCGGCTAAGATTGCACTATGCAGCTGTAGAGAGCTCCACTATCGCGGACGACCTTTGGTTACCTGAAGCGCCGGAAATAATCCCATTTCGTCACCTGCCCGTGTCTTCTGGCCTCCCTTGGAGAAATTTCATACCGGCGAGGACGGTTTCCCGGTTCGTAGTATGCCTCTCGCTGCTCTCTGGTCCGCATGTCAAGCTCCTTTACTCCCATGTCCTGTCGAGGACGTACCAAGTGACGACTGCTTGGCCGATACCTGACATATTATGGGCTTCTATCTTCATAGAATGTAGGGAATGCGTCAAGCACGACATGCTTCACAAGCTCAGGGGCGAGTCTACCAAGGAAACTGGGCTTGGTGATGGCAATGAGCACAAACAATTGGCAAGCTACTTCCCATTACATCCATCTCAGCCGAGTCGCCATCACAGCCTGTAGCAGTAAGCATGTGATTGCATCGTGAAGGTCAAAAATCATGCTACTGCAGAACTCTTAATCGTAGCCACGATCATCTTGACCGATCAGGCGCATGCTCCTTTTGGTCCTTAGTCAATCCCACCTGTGAGTGTAAGCAAGCGAGCATCAATGAAGCTTGACAAAGCAGCTTACAGCACAATTTCAATATCCAGTCAATTCCGTCTCGACGCTTGCGCGGCGCCCCTCGCTCCCCGGTAGCGCGAGTCGGCCTCTCGGTAGTGCTGTCGGTACTCTCACTATCCATACTGTCCCGGTCCGGAGGATAATAGTGAGCTCGACGACTGTGCGTTGGTTGATGCGCACGTGGAAAGGCATTCGAATGAGTTCTGTGCCGACTTTCTCGATCATGAAAAGAAGGACCTCGATGATAGTCCCGTGGATATCGCTGATGAGCAGCAGGAGGACGTCGACTTGATTTCCCTGTCATGTTTAAACTCTCATTCCCCATTATTGTGGGAGGCCGAGGACATACCAGGCGTAGTTCATTTCATACTCCTGCCCACTGCGCGCAGATCGACTCTTTCGTTCCTCGCGAGCACGCTCCCTTTCTTGCTTCTGCAATCTTGCTTGAGCTTTTTCTTTTTCTGTAGTGGCACGCCAGTCGCGCCGCATTTTTTGATATAACCCTGGTGGTAGGCCTGCAATTGAGGCCATTGTGAGCACCAGATGTTGCTATCTTTGGATTCTGCTAGGCTTTGAAATTTCTTGCGCTGTGGATGTTGCTGAGCTGTGGATGTTGCTGAGCTCTGGATGATCTTGAACTGTGGATGTCACTAAGCTCTGGACCTTGCCGATCTTGAGATGTTTTGAAGCTGATTTCCAGGTGCTTGATTATCAATAGGAGAGACACAAAGTGAAGTGGAGAGGTTTATGCGGCCAAAGAGTGTGCCACAAAAGACTTGTGCGGTGACTGCCTTCCCAGCGCGATTCGATGAATCTCGTATATTGATGGCAACAGCGACTGATATTGTATAGGGCAACGCCGACCCAGCTACGCACAAACGTGCACATGTATATATGTCGAGTGGGTGATGAGGTCAAGTCAAGCTCGGGCCCAGCATCGGCCCTGATCATTTTCTCGTCGCTTCACTTGAGCGGAGCAACTAGGTGCAAACAACGACTGGTGCAGCATCATTGCATAAATAATGAGTGTGGCTCTGTTTGACGTTTGCTTAGTGGATGCGCTCAAGACTTGCGCAAGCGATCCAGCTGTGATTGTGACATTTCATGAGATTGGATCGAGCTCGCGTCGTGCAATCACATCTGGGTAGGCTCAGATCGCACAGAGAGTCAACTTCACTTCATTGCAAAGCTAAAAAAGTGGGCCCTTGGCGGCGATCATTTCTGGGACCGGAATTTCGCTCCCAGCAGCTAGAACCCGTGAAGATCTTGGCTCTACATTTCGAATGCGTTTGAGATATTTGAGCAATGATCCATTCGGTATGGACAATCTTCAAAAGGCGAGAGCAGCTCCTGAAAAGAGCGAAGGGGGCTTTGCAAACGTCGACATCCAGCACGGAGATATGATCATGTATGATATTGACAAGATGATCAGCAAAAGCCATCATGCAGGTAAGAAGAACCTTGACATGGCCGACCAATGTCTGTTTCAATTCACAGACTACATGCTAAATACAAACGCCATAGCAGATCAATCATAATCTACTCCCAAAGATTCGCAGAATGACTACCTATAGTAGTAGCCATGCTTCTTGTCATGCAGACGGTCTTCCTTGGCATCCAGCGCGTCTTCCCTGGCATCTAGCGCGTCTTGCCTGGCATAGTTCTCGTCTTCCCAGTCCTCGTTGTCGGCGGTCCATTCTTCCAATTCCCGCTCCCGCTTCTTCTTCTTGCTTGAACCGCCCTTGACGATTCTTTTGCCCCGTTCGTAGACGTCTTCCGTGATCCTGCCTGCGCCCGTAGCGATGGCGCTGGTGAGTGCGTCATTAGATACAGGAAGTGTCATTTTGTGTGCTTCTGTGAGATTTTTCGGTGGTTGAGTGTGCTGATTGGATGTTCGAGAGTTTCGAGATTGTGTTCGTGTGAAGAGCTGCGATCGACGATATTTAAGCAATTTCAGGATTGTAGTGAAGAGAACATCGTTGCCCTTGCCATCATCGCCCTAGCTACGGAGTCATATACATGCGCGCGAATCGTAATACTATACCACAGGTCATAATGAATGTGGAAGAGAGCGGTTAGTGAAAGAGGCCAGCCCGAGAAAGTGCGCCGGGCATATATATACAATGCAGAATGGGGTAGGCTGTGCAAAGATCTTTCGATTTAATGACTCAATGCTGTGCGATACGAAGCCGACGGGATCGCCACATGTTTCCTAATCAACGAATTAGAGTGCAGCTGCTGGAGTTTGCATCGGATACTACAATAATTGGAGTTTCCGTGTAGTTGTTGGTCGCCGATGTCTTGCAGCGAGCGAGTCGTTCTTCGATTTGCTCCCACATGCACCGCGCATCGCTTTCACATGTCGCCGCAACTTAGCGCGAGGCCCGTGCTCGAGCTTGGGCTCAATTTCTGCCCACAGCGTCTTCCAACTTTTTCTTCGTCACCCCCTGGAACACACCGCATCGGAGGTCGTGCTCAGTCCATCACACAATCAACCTCGTCAAAGAAACAACTCATTATCATACAACATGGCCGGCGCTGCTTCGAGAGACGTCCGGTACGCTGACATGCTTGTTGTTTGTGGCAACTGCACATGGGAGGTGCACAGCAATTTCGTGTGCCCGCGCGCCGCGGTTTTCGAGAACGCTTTCGAACGTAGCAACCCGGTAAGACCAAAAATACATCAAGTGGTTCTGTTTGCTGAATTATTCGATAGAATATGGTCGTCGACTTGACCGGCGAAAAGGAACAAGTCGTCGCCGCCGTCATCGAGTATATCTATGATGGCCATTATGGCTCTGCAGAGCCAGCATCGGATGATGATATCAGTCTGCACGCCGACGTCTTGCGATTAGCCAATCAACACCGTATGGAGGACCTTCGTGAGCATGCTTTCGATTGATACGCCTACACTTTGGCTGGCAACTGGAATCAAGCATCCTTTGCAGATGCTCTTGACCGCCTCTACACCAACATGCGCGAGGAAGATATCATGCTACGCATTGCAGCAACTGCAATCGCCGTGACGCATGCCCGTGAGCTTCTTGGTGATCCTGCGCGATACGCTCGCTTCAACAGGGTCGTGGCGAGGCATGCCCCACTGGCCGCCACCCTCGCGCAGAGTCTCGCTCACGCTCTCAATGAGTCTCAGAACGGTAGTAACTTCGCCTCGCAAGACACCCGCACACCAAGTCCACCATAGCGATCTGATTCGCGCTGTCTCCGGTGTCCACGGTGTGAGGAGCACTTCGACGCTGAGCTGCCATCTAGCGGTACATACCAGCATCAATGTGATACCGAGCGGACCCAGCAAGAGCATATCGGCAACAGATACACCCCGTCGCAGTGGCGCACGTACTATTGTGGTACAGATGCCGAGCCAGACCCAGATGCCTAGGCGGAATGCGAGAGACGTACTATTGTGCTAGAGGAGCCAAGCGAAGCCCAGATGCTTAGAGAAATGGAGAGGAGCGCATGTGATGCCTCCAAGGTTCCAAAGTGATCCAGGGCAATGAATGCGAATACAAACGCTTCGGACGGAAATTGCCTTCGTGAGCCGCCATGAGCGGCAGTTTTGCATAACACCGGGCTTTTGTCCAAGAAGCCGAAGGAGAATCAACGAGCCTCAAGTCCCATCTCTTACTTCTACTGTCTGCCTTGCGATTGTTGTAGAACTTTTTCATCGTCATTTTCACTTCCGCATAAGTATTAATGTGGGGCGTCCGGCCTTACTTCACCTGCGTGTGATGAAGACGCGGCTGAGTGAGAGACGATAAAAGAACTCTCCCTGCGACATCAACCTCTCACCAACGTCGACATGGAGCCAGCCCTGCACTGCCTCCGCCGTAATGGACGCTACCAAGATCTCAGCATAGTGTGTCCTGATCGCACAGTTGTGGTGCACAGCGTAGTAGTCGCGCCGCAATGGGGTCATATCGACAGGATGTGCAGCCAATTCCAAGTGAGAAAATAGCAGCCAATGACCAGAGCAAGACTAACGAGGCACACAGCAGGGACCAGACGTTCCAAGACGTATTGACCTGCCGGACGAAAGCTCCGAGATCGAAGCCATAATTGATTTCTGCTTGCTATGATGGAGACTACGGCAAGCAGTGTCTCAGACCAGAACTCTTCCATCATGCGTGCGTATTCGAAGTTGCCGAAAACCACGAACTCTTTGCGCTCAAAGAACTAGCACGAGCCAAGTTCAAAGCGGTCAAGGAGACAGATTCGATCGGAGCCGATGTCGCCAGCACGGCCGAGAATTTGTATCGGACTCAAGAGCACGAATTGCGAGAGGGTTTTGTCCGCACCCTTCATGCTCGCCGGGCTGAGCTCCTCGGCCAAAGCTCAGAAATCCGCGAAGCTCTCTTCGGCATTGCAGGACTTATGAAGAGACCTGGTGGCCTTCGACGTCGATGGGCGATCTGAAGTCACTCCGCCAGGCTCAGGGGATCGAAGGCCTTTGGGAGCCACGTCGGGTCAGACGAAGGATGGCGAAAACTCGAGCGGCCAGAGTGATCTCTTGCTTGAGCGTACCGAGACGACAGATGATGAGGATGAGGCTACAGCATTGCAGGAGCCAGAGAGCTCCGATGACATGGATGGAGAAGACGAAGATGTCGAGGATCCGCTCGATATGGGTGGTCCAGAGTGGCAAAAGCGTAGACACGACCTCATTCAGCTCCTAACAAGACTCGGCGAGGCTACACGCAACAGTCTGTCAAAGACCATCGACCGGGCCGGCCGTAGATTTCCAGCAGCATACTCTCTGGTTGTGAAGCAATTGGCCAAGATGCAGCACCGCTTCGATCCCACCCGAAACGACATGAACATGCTTCTGATTGCCAAGCTGTACCTCGCGATCCGTGTGCCAACTCATCGTGAGGAGATCATGAGCTGCGGCAAAGGCGATGTACTCCCCGTCGACTTGCCATGGCATGTTCTCACAAAGCAGGAAGGTCCTGTTGAAACTTTCGTGATCCTGCTCGAAGAGATCCTCGAAACACCGAAGCTGTGCAAGCAGACCAAGAGGAAAAGAACCGAATCGCCCTCCGAACGACTGTGACATGCCAGAAGCAATACCAAACCCGCACTCCATTGGAAGCATAGAGAGCCAGCCAGGATAATCACCAGAAATCCACAACAAGAAATCATAAAATCAACCCGCCAGCCGAGGCAGGGCGCCTTCGATCAACAAAATGCATTGCAAATATCTCGCCATCACACACGAATGATCCAATTGAACCCCCGATGATACTCCTCTTTTGACTCCACGCTATGCAAACCTCAAACAACAACAACAAAAAAAAAACAGGAACTCCCACATCCATAATGCCCACCTGGGTATAATTCATTGACTGACCTAACGCAGTCCCAAAAACCTCCCGATCTATTCCCGCCTCCCATCATCACTTTCCCAAAGGATTTTCCGGCCTCCGAAAGAAATGCGCCTCGGTGTTCATGACCCAATCATCCAAACTCCAAACATCAGGCTCGTCAAAAAGCAAGTAAAAGTATTTCAACGTCTCGGCAATCCAGAAACTCTCCATGCCGTCCAGCTGCTCCGGGTGCAGCTTCGTGATATCATCCAACGCACTGTGACCGTACCTCGCGCGCGTATGCTTGTCGATAGCCCGGAACATTTTCCAGCCCATGTCGCGCCAGTACTGTTCGCCGGTGATGCGGTACATGTAGAAGACGGATTCGATCGCTTCGGGTCTCAGGATGTACTTCCTGCTCTCGTAGCGAACGAAGCCGGGCGCAAGACGTTCATCCTCGATTTTCTGTTCCACGTATTGCTTGTGCGTCGGGGGCGGCGATGGTGTGTAAGCAGGTGCAATGGCATCGACTGGCGAGGGTGAGGGTGGATACACATCGCTATCGCGATCGTACTGAGTATTGGCATCATATTGATTGCTGTTTGCTGGGAAGATGACATCTTCGCCTCCAGCACCTGGCCCATAGTTTGCCATGTCAGACGGTGCTTTTATAGGGCTCGGCAACTGTGCTGCTTGTGGTAATGGGAGGAGCTTATCGTCAGCGACATTCTCTTCGTGCAGCTGCCGCTTGTTGTACTGGCTCATGTCTTGCGCAACAGTTGCCGGTCTGTTCTGTAAACCATAATCGTCATCCTCAACACGTTGACCTGTGCGGTGATGTGACAGAGTGTAACTACTACTGCTTGTGCCACTCGGTGTGACGGTTGGTCGGCTGTTTGCTATCAACGCATCCTCGCCGTAGGTCTCCGCGTATTCCTTGCGCTGCTCGTCGCGATAGCTTTGATATGGATCCAGTTCTTCCCAGTACATGGTCTCATTCCACTCGCACTTGTTTTTGTCCGGGCACGCAAGTGCAATGAAGCCTTCAGGCATGATACCGGAGGTGGTAGCGTTGTATGCCCAGATGCAGCCATCAGTAAGCTTGCGACCGATCTCAACGTGCTCTGGTAAGTCGAAGAGCTTGCCGCCCATGGCGAACATACCACCAGCAAAGCATGTCAAGTGCTCGCCCTTGGAATGCTTCGTTTCGTAATATGTTTCATTATCGTAGTCCCACGCTGACACTATTTCACCTGAAATCAAGATATCGAGATTGTCGGGTGTCATTGGGCGAAACAGGCCCTTCTCAGCCCACGGAATCATGCTTGCCAAGTACATGTCTTTGTACTGGTCGAATTGCCCACCAATAAGCAGATGCATCTTTGGCAAATATTCGTAAGTGCTGTCGCTCTGGCCTCCGAGGGTGAAACTCTCCATACCATGCGAACTTACCGACCGAAGGCCTTGAGGAATACACACGGGCTCTTTTGGTGGTTCGTAGACGGGGACGTAAGGTGAGCTCGGATTGTGTCCTTGCTGAACGTCCGGTAGAGCTCCATTCTGCGCAGCCGCGCCTTGGTCGAGGTTCTGTGTGCCAGTTTGAAACTTCGCAGGAGGACCGTGAGCAGCTGGCTGGCCGACCCTCGGGTTCACAGTGGCATCAACCAGGTCGCCCACGTCAAGCTGCCGCTTCCTATGCTTGGTAACTGGAGTGCCATCTGTCCACCTCAGCTCGTCAGAACTGCTCTTTTGTTTGACTTTCAGAGCATCCAGTGAGCCCGTTTGAGCTGCTTGCCCTGCTTGTGCTTTCTGCTGATTCAACGAAGCCTCAGCTTTGTCCATGACTCCGGGGTCGACTTTCACAGGCTCGCTGGTGACCATATAGCTGTCTCCGCCCGGTACCGGGATTTGAATCCGAGTTGGAGTGCCAGGCGAGAGTTGGACGGGCTTTGCGCAACCACTGGCATCCAGCGTAGTGGGCCACATCCCAGGAATACGAGTCTGATTCTGCCACTCTTCAAAAGCGTCGGTTATTCTGGCAACCGCGTCATAGTACTTGGGTTCTTTGGTGAGCTGAGCCAGTCTCGTGAATTCCAAGCTCAATGTACCAAGTTCGGCCATTACAACTCTGGTGCTTGCTCGATGTCCGTTCGAAGAAAAGCTCGGCTTCCAATAATAGTAAGTCTCGGGCATCCGATTCGGGGTGTCGAAAGCGCTGTACAGGATTTCGGCCAACTCCACGGCTTTGTCCAGCAGCACGCGATATTGCCGGCCAGATACATCGTAGGCTCCAACCAGTCCACCGAGGTATCTGATTGTAACCTCAAATAGCGGAATGTCATTTCGAGACGAAGTCGTAAAGTCGATGTACTTGGTCTGGTTGACGGCATCCTCGAACTCGTCCTTCATGCCCATAATCCACAATGTGTCCAGCGAATCGACCAATGTCGCACCCCAGCCATTGAAAGAGTTCTTGCCATACCCAGATACGGGCTCGACCTCGTCGTATCCCCAGCCATGCTTGCGATAGCCACTCCACGCATGCTTGCATGCCTCTTTGACTGCAGCCAGACGCTGCTTATCTGCGCCTTTTGTGTCTTTCTTCTGAACGAGAGGGATTGGTTTTGGTGTTCCGCTCGGCAATTGTATGGTCGACGTGATGGGCCATTTCTCCGGCTGCTTGGTCCAATGAATCGCGGGCGGCGAGTAGATAGGTCTGCCGTATGCGTCTACGTTAGCTTCGTCGTCGCCGTCGTCGTCGTCATCGTCGCTCGAGCCTGGCGGCAGCGTTGGTAAGGGCTTTTTTGTAGCCCATTCCGCGAATTCAGATCCCGCTGCCTCTCCTGCCGCGGTCGTTGCTTCTGGTTCCACAACCTTGACAGGCGTGGTGGCAGGAACCGCATCGAGCGCTTCTGCAGAGGTCGCCTGCGCCTTGGGCTTGAACTCTGGCTTGGGCAGATGTTCAATCTTATCTTCCAACTGTGGCCCCAATACTGCTTCTGTCTCTTTCCCATCTGGCTTCCTCAGAACTGCTCCGCCTCCCACTTTGGTCGGGCGAATATAATCGGCGGCTCGTTCGTAGCCACGATTCCAGTACAGAAAATATACAAAGACCAGACAGACTGCGATGGCCAGCAGGCGCACTCTACGAGTCCGGCCAGGCATCATGCGGGATTATCGTCGACGTGAGCTCTGCATGTGAAACCGCTATCAGACGCAAGCGAAGGTAAAAGAGTGTCGGGGGGCATATACGTAGATAGATAAACGAAACAATGAATATACAGGTGTTGCTCTTGGCATTACTGTCGTTTCCCGTGCTCATCCACCCCCCTTCCTCGACGTGCTTGGCGATGGGAAGGTTTCCGACCCGGAATGCTCCCAATTAGAATAGGTCGCTCCATAGGGAGGCCCATACGTACCAGATTGTCAATACAGCACTTCTGAGCGCAGCGACAACAACGCAATCTTTGCCCCTTTAAGTTCTTTTTATTATATCTTTTTATATAGAGGATTTATAGGTTAATAATATAGGGCAAAGATACTCTAATTTGTATCTATTTTTAGAAAATAATAAAATTTATAGTCGTTACCTACTAAATTTATAGGATATATAGCCTAGAATTCTAATTTAGAAGTTTAACAATTTTAGCATTTTTTAGGCCTTAGCATACTATTTTTAGTAATCTAAAATCTAGATCTTATAGTTTTATCTTATAAAAATCTAAATTTTAATTTATATATTAGTATAGAAACTATTAGTAATACAATTTAGAAAGGAATATTATTTTCTTACTATATTCTCTTTAGTTTATCTTTTTATTTAGAAGAGTTATAGCTTAGTAATATAAGACAAATATACTTTTACTTTTATATATTTTTAGAAAATAACTAAAACTACTGTAGCTATCTACTAAGATTAGCCTAAAACTCTTAAATAAAGATTTTAAGATTTTACTATTTATTAGGCCTTAGTATACTATTCTTAGTAATCTAAAACCTAGACCTAAAAGTTTCGTCTAGTATAAATATTAGTTGAGATTCTTATCTTAATACGCTTACTATTAGTCTTAAAATCCTAAAGCGAATATTCTTAAGAATTGTAGGCTTAGTAATTTAAAGTTTATAATTCTTAAGAATATTCTTTTTTAAGTTGTAAGACTATTTATAGCTTAGTTAAAGTAAAAGCCCTAATATAGATTCCTAGTAGGTGAAACTATAAGCTTTAGGTTTTAGATTACTAAAAATAGTATACTAAGGCTTAAAAAACGCAAAAGTCTTAAAATCTTTATTCTAAAATTTTAGGCTAATATTAGTAGCTAGCTATAATAATTTTAGTAATTTTCTAATACTAGATTAAAAACAGAGTATTTTTGTCTTATATTACTAAGCTATAACTCCTCTAAAGAAAAAGATATACAAAAGGGAATCTAATAAGAATTTAAGTTTTAAATTCTAGATTATATAACTAATAGTAGCTATATTACGAGAAAAATCTCAAAATAGATTTTCATTAAGTAAAACTATAAGGCCTAGGTTTTGTATTACTAAAAATAGTATATTAAGACTTAAGAAAACGCTAAAATTCTAAAATTTCTTACTTAGAAGTTTAAGCTATATAGCTTATTAGTTTAGGAGATAACTACTAGAAATTTTATTATTTTCCAAAAATACATATAAATTAGAGTATCTTTGTCTTATATTATGAAGCTATAACTCCTCTAGATAAAAAGATATTTTAAAAAGAACTTGTAGGGGCAAAGATTGCGCTGTGAATTCTTCATTGACAATCTGGCATATATGGAGCTCCGTCGCTCCACGCCCGCCGCCCGCCGCCCCATACCAATCTATATCAGGCTACGGCGAAACCCTTGGACATGCATGCTGTGCGGGGAGCATGGAGATAGGCGAGGTGCTTTGTAACATCACTTCTCTCCTAGACGTGCAAAGAGCGCAGGAGAAGGCCGGCGGCTGGCATCCAACCTTGATACCCTCTTCCGGAGATCTGAAATGGACAGTCATCAGATTGCAGCCGGGCGGCGGCGAGGTTCCGAGACACATGCACAATGCTGAGAAACACACTGCCCACGAGCGCATTCATAGCATCGTACAGGCTGAGTTGTTTCTCGGTGTCGCCGGTGATGGCCTTGACGCTGCTCCCTCAACATTGTGTTGACTTTGTACTGCCTTAAGCTCTCCGCTGGGTCTTATGATCGCTGCTCCTGGACTCTCTTCCGTGTTCTTGATGATTAGAGTGGAAGCGGGCATGATATATGTGGCTGGCCAAGCATGGTGAATACGGCAGGGAGCACTATTCACTGGCATTGCCAGTTACAGATGCATGTGTCAGAATACTGTTTACTCACAATGAGCTGTATGCTCCTAGTCCTTCTCGAGATGACCTCGAACTAGATCGAAACGAAACTATCACCACTATCCTACTACCGTTCTGCCCAATTTTTTCCAGTTGTTCACGCGTGATGTCGCAGTGACATTCTTGGCCATCTTCTCGCCAATGTTTGACCAACTTCCAACCATCTTTGACTCATCTTCTAACTATCTTCTCCACCTCGGGTCGTAATCGTGATCACAGGTATGCGTGACTCTCGCCTGCCACATGTCGTAAATGGCTTGCTCATTTCGTCGTCGAGCTTCTTGCGTGCTCCGCTTTGGTGGCAGGTCGCATGACCGTGCAGACCATCGTGGCTTTCCTGGGGGTTCTGTTCTGTTTTGGACTGGTCGGACCTATAAATTCTGACGGTTCTTCGCCTTCATTGTCCTTTTGGTTCTGTGATACCCCAAGAGGTTGGCAAGACTGATATCAGCAGCAGAATATATGCATTCTGGAAGAGATCTCACAGAGCACACCAGCATGAATACCGTGAGCATGACATCGCCTCACTGTGGTATGTGCTCCTCAATGCATTATTGAGTGTGTTCTGGCCGGCTTCGCTCACAACTGAATAAACTTTTGTCACATGCAGATTGCAGAATGCGCCTGCCACTTTCACAAAGCTTCGACCTCACATTGTCGCGCGCGACAATAGAAGCTCTGACCACCACCACCAACCTCTCGCCACACACCGTGAGCAGCAAACTTTCGCCGCCGTCTTCTGCCATCCACTCGTCTCCCCGCGAAACTGCCATTGCGACTGAATGCCACCACGGCTTTCTCCTCGCTGTATTCGGCATCGCAACACCAAGAAATCGCGACCACCAGCTAATCCCTCTCCATCAGTCAACCACACCGACATCGCCATGGCCGACGTCGTAGACCCACGCACACCGGTCGCCGACATCGCCATCCTCGCGACTGACGACGGCACGTTCACCCTCGACCGCAACCTCCTAGCTGGACGCGGACCACTCTTCACAGTATTCTTCACCCAAAAAAGCACAAAACTCCGAACCACACAGATCTTCCTCCCCGAAGCTTCCCCATACATTTCCGACGGCTCGGGAGCCATAGCCGACTACATCGAATATGTCAAGAATGGCGGAACGTTCCTCCCAGTTTTGGCGGGCAGCGAAGATAAGCACGCGCCGTACGAAGAGCAGCTTGATCACCTGATCGACCTGTATCTCTACGCCTCGCAGATCGAGGATACGAAGGCGCAAGATGACACGATGGATTGCCTGCTCGCCACGTACAGAGACGGAGGTGTAGGTGGATTTCCGTGGATGCCAGACTCGGAGACCATAGCGCGAATCTATGACGCCAGCCCATTGGCTCCGACTCTTCGAAAATTCTTGATCGACGTGCACATGTGGGCCGGTGAGGTGGGTTCGAAGGAGGATCGCAAGCATGAAGGCTTCCTCAGAGATCTCAAGGCTAGAGTCTTGGACGAGGTGATGGGTCCCGGGCATGGTGGCGATCTGTATGACAGCACCTCGAAGTATATGCAAATTCTGGCTGCCAAGGGTAATCACAGAATGGCGAAGAATAAGAAGAAGGAAGCGATTCCGGCCGGTATTAAGTGCTGTGATTACCATAAGCATGGTCCTGGAGAGGAGTGTGTCAATAAGAAGCGGAAGAGGCCGGTGGAGGTGTTGGATGATAGCGACGAGGAGGTGCAGAGCGTGAGACCGCCGACGAAGAAGATCATGACACCCATGAAATCTGAGAGGTAGCTCGGAGGAGGGAGGGGATAGGGAGTATGCAGCGTGTTGGAAAGCTAGATCGACATGTGTACTCAGCTGGTCTGAAGCTTGAATTCAAATATGTGAATCGACTTGTGTGATCGGACTCGAATTCTCTGCACTCTACTCCATATGTGTGGTTGACGCTCCTATAATGAGCATAGATAACGCTCAGCGGATCGAGGTTGACTGTGAATGCTTTACGCAACGCGTCCGAAGCAGTGGGTTGGGATGGTACCTTGGTCATAAAGGTGGAGACCCGTTATCTTTCCACATCTTCTTAAAAATCTCGGCGAAGCAATCGAATCGCGACAGGGAAGTGATAGCCCCAAATTATCCGTTTGAGCGAGGTCTTTCGAGGAATATCTCGCAGCGCTTCGATGCTTGGTGCTACCAGTGGCACAGCTATAGTTGTAAAGACGGGGCCGGATAAGCGAAGCCCTGATGCGTATTTGATGTGAGGTGTGAAGTTTTGATTCAGTGCTCACCTCGATACGCTTGCTTCTACACCAGAGCCTCTTATATGCTGGTAAGGTGGCATCTAGTGTGAGCATGAGGAAAGTTCTGCTTGTGTGCCTCTCCTACGAGCGCCTCGAATGGCTTGCAAGCGCCGCCGATGACCACACCAGCCATGGCTTACAACTCAAGCTCGCCAATTGATCAGCACGTTCAGCATGTATCTCCGGCCCCAAGTATGATGGGTGAGAACTCATGATTCTCAGGGCCACATTCTACGAGCTGAATTCATCTAGGACCGCCTCACAGGACGAGCGACATCTCATGTATTCAAATTCTCGCTCTTGACTGACTTGCATAGCAGTGTCGTGGAGGTAGCAGCAGCCTCGCTCCGCTGGACTGAGAAAGCGGCGGTCGTTCGCATGAGGACTGGGATCGCGGCAGGTTGAGATGAACGCAGTCCATTCGAGCCAGTTCCGTTCGTAGGGGTGGCCTCGAACGTATCTCATAAGACTGAGCCCATCCATCGGAGACCGGCGCATCATGGCAACAGACGCGGTGCGAAGTACTCTTCGTCTCGGTTGTATCGTGTCTGTCTTCGCGGGAATGGGTTGATGATAGCGGACGGGAATGATTTCGAGTGACTGATCATTCCATGCTCGGGATGCATGTGAAAGCGAATGTGCTTGCCGCTGCATCGTAACAAGGTCGGGATCGGTGCCAAGAGAGGTCTGTGAAGGACAAATTGCAAATGAGGTCAGAGAGATCTAGTTCCCATTCATTCGGCACGCCACTTCCAGATAACAAGTCCCCTTCTCTCATCTGCTCCGAATTGCAGACAGATTTCAGCTCGGAAACAATCAGTGCCCCGGCTATGAGAATAATATGTGCTCCTAGGCGGCTGCGCGTGCCTAGAAGTGTGCGAGCGAAGCTTTCGCCTTACGTAAGCCGCTAATAAGAAGCTCCTATTAGTATAAAATTAATTACTTTTGAAAGGGTTAACAAAGACTATCGCAATCGTCTTAATTCTATCGTTTAACGCTATTAGTACCCTCGTAACCCGGACAAGGCTAAATAGGCTTGTCCTTCTACTACATTCTATAGACTATACGAGACCGCTCGTATATCTACTATATCAACTATTCGTCCGCTATCTCTATATCCTTACTACCTCCGAAATTAAAAGCTAAAGAAGGCAATACTATATTATCTACTTCGTCTATCTTCTATTCTACCTAAGCTAATACTACTACCTCTACCGTAGCCGTAGCCGCAGCCGCTACCGCTACCTCCGCCTACTTCTACTACTCTTCTCTCTTACGACGCTCCTAATCGATCCGCTCCTAATACTACTAAGTAAATGCCTCTACTATATACTTTAGCAAACGTAGAATACGTAGTTAACTCGCTAGATTAGTAGGGCGATAGTTATAATCTATATTAGTATATAACGCTGCTAGTTAGTTAGAGCGAGTTTAAGTAGCCTAGTCTATAAGGTCGGATTAAGACCTAGTAATACGTACGAGTAGGCGATCTTATATAAGGATATAGAGGTTGTCGACTATAATAACCCTATAAGCGGATATATTAGTTTGTCGAATAGTAGCATCGACCTCTTAGTATGCCTAGGCGTGTTTAGAAGGCTAACTAGCTTCTTAAGCACCTTTATAGATAGACAATAGTCTAGTAAACGCAAGGACTAGTCGTATACTATTACCTCTAATAGTACGCGTACTATCTATACGAATATTAGGCTACGAGTTCTAGGTCTATATAATACTTGTCTATAGGTTAATCTTTGCCGCTACTAAGTAGCTATTCGAAGAGTAGATTATATATACTAGCCGTAGGTTAGGCGTAAATTCGATAGTATAGAGGGCGTCGAGTATATTAGTCGTATTAGTCTAGTATTAAAAGCAGCCCTCGGTAGTAGCTGCAGCCTACTATTAAGGATTAATAGGCTATGTAGCAGCTATAGTAGGCTAACTAAATTCCCGAATAGCCTTGCGGGCGATATTTACTATATCGCAAGCAAGCCGCTTATCGGTACTAAATAGGAATAACACTCCGATAGCGCTAGTTAGAGTAATTAGCTAGAGACTATTACTAAAGGTATACTATTAAAGCATAAGAAGATCCGTAATAACTCTATCGTTATACTAAGTACTAATAAGATCGTCCGGGTCGTAGGGATTCTATAGAATATAGGCAACTATATCGAAGAAGCTAAGATATCGTCCGCCGCTAGTCGTTAGAAGCTTAACACTGCCTAGATTATTGTATATATACCGACCCTAGCCCTCCGCAATGCGAGTATAATCGAATACTAGGTCGATAAGACGTATTATATTAGGGCAAGGTACGCGTGTCCGATAGTCTTCTCGCTTGTCCGCCTACTCGATACGACTCTTCGTAGCTTGTAGCTGCTAGTAATTAAGATACATCTTACGGTAGACCTCCTAAAAGATCTTCTTACTATCGGGATCCTTTAAAAATCGTAACTAGTAAAACATCTATAGTAGGCGAGCAGTATTAAAAAGGATCTTCTCTATACTACTAAACCGGTAGACAAGGGCTATACCTAGCTCCCTACGAGCATAGTAGTTAAACGTACGCTTAAGTTCCTTATTATTAGGACGCACGCCTATTTGCTACTACTATTACTACTTAGCGTTAGGCGATAAGACCGTAGATATAACAGATTAAGCACGATTACGAGTACGATTAGCGGAAGTAGGTTCTTTTATACGGGCTTGCTCTCGAAGGATGTGCTATTATCGGCGTTCTTCTTCCTAAATCTAGCGTATAAAGAGATTGCGATTAATAGTAGGTTCGGCGTCCTTTAGCTCCGGCGGCTACTATTAGTTCTAACGCCGACGTCGTAGCTCTAAATGAGTTGTTAGGCGATATACATAGCTAGAGTGTAGAGGAAAGCCTTCACTCTTAGGTTCCGGTGGTTTCTAATTAATCTCCGGGGCATTAAGCGGTAGTGCATTAGGCAATATATCTTTCTAATCTAGGAGAGGCAACTTAGCTAGTACGTTCTAGGTTTTAGCATTATCGTTATAGCCGTTATCTTTATTATTATAGTACTAAGCCGGCTATCTAAGAGTATTTAATAACCTATTAGAAAAAGTTAATAGTAGTTCGCTAAAGTCGTATACGCGAGAAGATAATACTAGAGTTATAGGAGGCTTAGGAAGGAACTGCCCTTGCCTACGCTACTTATTAGCAAGTCGCATTCGGGTAATACTTGTCTTGCCGAGATCGCGGATACGAGGGAAGTTAAATGCGTCCTTAATTATAAGGCTTATATAACTCTTAATATAAGAGAATGCTATATACGTTAACCTAGCCGAGAAGTCTTTCGGGCTAAGCTTAATAATAGCTTTCTTAACTGTTATGCCCTATGCCTTATAGACAGTTAAGGCATAAGAGACTATTAATAGAAATTGCTTACGCTAGTTATCTCGACCGTCGACGTTGCGCTTAATATAGAAGATAGGTACGATCTTGCGTCTAGCAACCTTAAAGAGAGCAGGTATATTATCTTTTAGGCCTTTAAACGTAACTAACAAGCATAAAGGCGGAGTCCGACGGAGGTTCTTCTCGCGTATAGATTTAGGCTAAACAATGTCGTATAGGATGCCTTAACGGCTATTTACTAAGCTAAATTCAGTCTAAAGATTAGTAAGTAGCATAAGCTTGCATCTAATAGAGACCTTAAGAAGGGCGTCTAGATTGTAAACACTCTTACTATCGATAGTAGCGGTCTCTAGGCGATTATAATCCGTATAAATAGGTAGAACTAGATTACCGATATCTCGTAGGCGCTAGTAATTAAGCTTATCTATATTAGCATTAGTAAAGTAGATACAAACAGTATCGTTAAAATCCTTAATACGTGCCGTAATATCTAGATATAATACATACCGCTTTATTAAGGTCTACTAATATAGTATCTATATATTACCGGTACGAAGAGCTTCGAGAGCGTCGCGAAATGCGATCTGCTCTATACTGTCTCCCTCCTACCGTATATTAGCTTTAAGTAGAAGTGACTTACTAAAGCAGTAATATATCGACTAGCTAGAGATATCTTCTACTGTCTTCGGAGCGGTATAGAAGAGCGGCTTTTCGAATATAGGTATAAGTTAGGAGAAGTCTCTAAAGATAATAATGTTTATACCTCTGTATAGTAGGTTTCGGTCGACATAGCATTAACGAAGCCGCTAATCGAGCATATAAAGAAGCGGCTAACTAACTATAGACTTCTTATCGATAATAATATATTAAACATTCCGGATTATATTCTCGAGTAGCGTTAAGCGGGCTCCTACTAGCTTAGTAAATGCTCTCCTAACTAGCAACTTAAAATATATATATAGAGTAGACCTATCGATATTAGTAGCTACTATACTAGTAGGAGCTAGGCGAATAATAGGATTAGCTGGGTAGTCGGCTGCCTTTGCGTTACTCTAAAGTCGAGCGTAGAGCATCTCGATAAGGAATAACTTGCTAGTACTACCTGCGCTATCGACGTTAAGTAGTAGCTATAGAGGTCGATCCTTAATATTTCGGGTACGACGATATTGCAGCACTATATTAAAATGGCTTACTACCTTATCGAAGCCTTAGCGCTAGTATCGATTAAGCTTCTAGAACTAGGCAGTGCTCTAAGACTGCACATTAAGATCTACTATACCGTATGCTTGCTTACGGGCCGTCTACTAGTCTTATATAGTATCGTAGATATTAGGATGCTTAGTTAAGTACTTTCCGATACGAGGCTCCTAATAAGTAGCACGGTCGATCTCTCGATTACTAAGATTGTTTAGATCCTTATCTCGTACTCTAGCGTTAGGAGAAGGGCTACAAAGAGCATTAAAGTTCGCTAGCTTACTAAGGTTCTATAACTTAGGATTAATAAATAGATTACTATCTTCTCGCGGAAGGTCCTAAAGATAATTATTCGGGTATAGTGAGTTGCCCTAGCTATTAACGTAATACTCGTAGTAGTATCGCATAGCTGCATCCTATAATGTAAACTCGACATCCTTATTGTCTAGAAAGTAGTAGGGTGTTTTGTTAGAACATTCCGGAAGGGCACGGAATAGGTAATGCATCTAAATCTTTATCCGTAGGTATTCCTAGTACCTAGGCTTTATCGAGATAGATAGGTATCGAGGAAAGTAGTTAATTAAACGTCGGTCCTTAGTTGGATTTCTTAGAGGTACTAGATTACCGTATCGCTATAGGTTCTACTTAGTTAGATATACGAAAAGACTAGCGTCTTCTACGAGCTCTAAGCGCTTAAGGTACTTCTAAAGCACTGTTCTGCTAGGTGCCCGTCGCCTGCTATTACTATCGTTAGCGCTATCTGCGTTGTTCTTATTAGCTAGCATATCGACTAGACCGCTCTACTCGGACGATAGCCGATAATTAAGAGTAACGATAGTGCGGCTTCCCTTTTACAAAGGAAGATATAGATTGAGATAAGCAACCTCCTAGGCCGGCCAATTACGCTTAGTAATTAGGATGTTAAGCAACTTAGCAACTATAGAAAGCAGCGGCTTATTATAATTAATAAGAGGCAGTAGGCCCTTTATAATATTATTATAAGATCGGCTCTTTACTTCTGTCTTACTATAGTATTTAAGAATGTATTGCATTACCGTATAGATAGTTATATACGGGGTAATATCGCAATTGGCTCTCTAGGCTATAGATATAAGGCGATTGAAGTAATTAATAAACGAGTCGTTGCAAGCTATAGTAAAGCTAAGATATCGATTTTTGTACTCGTTATTAATATCGGCCTA